ATGTTATTATTTCAAAAGAATTCCATTACTCTCTCCCTATATATATATATATGTATATATACAGTAGTGGATCTTCTTTACGTTATATAATTTACTACGAACAGTAATATTATTTCGTTTTGCTAGTTTATATCTAGCTTGAATAATAACATAGTGCATAGAATTTGCATACAAATATTTATAAAATTAAAATATGAAGATATTAAGTTTTTACTCAACATACGATGTAAAAAAATTCATTAAAATCATCAGTTCCGTTTCACCATGAGCGGCAAATTCGCTGAACAATGGTGGTTCGACTCGGGTTCAAATCTCAGAGAACGAGTGGATACATGTAAGGGTTTATAGATTTCCCACCGATTACATGAATACAAGCCAGTTTCCCTTAAAAAGTTCTCCACGAAGAGCTACATACATTTGATTAAACGATTCACATATACTATAATCTAAATAATTCTAATCTGACACATTGTAACACTCACTCAGGTAAACATCATGGTAAACTCAATTAAAAATTATTGCTTTTATCTGACAATACTCCAAGATACAAGGGTAATTTCTTAGACCGATGAATACAAAAATTCAGTAATGTGAATTTAAAATTCTTCCCCATTACTTACAATACCTGATCTCAAGTGATTTATATCTGTTAAAAACTGAAATAAGAGCCTCGAAGTCAAGAGGAATCATACAGAAAACTAAGAAAGCAATTCTGACATTTTTCTGTTAGCGAGGAGACACTTTGCTTCAAAATGGGGTTCCTGTTGTGATTAACTTGCAAGTGTTTATATCCAGCAGCTGCCAATTTATCTACTTAAAACTCTAAAGATTCATGAGAGAAATATCCTTGACTTAACAGTCATTCTCTCCGCTTATTTGAAACGACATTATTGCACAGCTATTCATCACGCGATATTAACTGGCTACTACATTTGGTGATTGGCGCCCCATTAGTAGAAAAGTACCTTTTAGTTTAGATATTTATCTTCTAAAAGTAGTTTTGGCTAAAAATGTCATGAACTTTCCTAGTACTCTGACGGAAAAAGAAATTCCAACACTAAGAAGGATAAACGAAATTTAGTAGGCGTGCTTATACATCTGAAAGATGATGTCTATTCAAATTTCGCGCAAGGTGAATAAGTGTAGCACTAGTAGCACCACTATGAACTTTCAAATCAGATTTGCTTTAAGTATGCGCTGTAAAGTTTGTGAGCGTTATTTATCGTTAAGATATAACGTAGTGAGTTGATGTTAGTCAAGAATGCCTTTCAGAAGACGAAAATGCCATTATCATCGGCTCAGTGAGTTTGAACGAGGTCGGGTAATAGGGCTACGAGAAGGTGGAATTTTTTTCCGCGATATTGCAGAAAGACTTGGCAAAAATGTATCCACTGTGAGTGATTCTTGGCAGCAGTGGTCAAGGGTAGGTACTTGCTCAAGAAGATTGGGTTCCGAGAGGCCATGTGTCACAACTGGAAGGAAGACCGGCGTGTTCGGCGTAAGCCAGTGGCCCAACGTACTGCGTGTACAGCAGAAATTCGAGCTGCAGTTGGCACCACAGTGACACAATGAACTATTACAAGTCGATTACTTGAAAGACAGCTCCTAGCCAAACGCCCTGTAGCGTGCATTCCACTAACTCCAAACTGTTGCCGTTTGCAACAGTAGTGTTGCCAAGCTACAGCTCATTGGAGAATGGAGAGGAGATCTGTTGTGTTTTTTGATGGAAGCTGGTTCGGCTGATTCGTGCCAGTGATGGCCGTGTGTTAGTTATAAGGAGGCCAGGTGAGCGCTTGCACCAACTTGTCTGCGGCGTAAACACACTGGACCTACACCTGGAATTATGGCATGGAGAGCCTTTTCGCATGACAGCAGCAGCACTCTCATGGTTATACCACGCAACCTGACTGCAAATCTGTACGTCAGTCTGATGAGTCACCTGTTCTGCTGTCTTTCATGAACAGCATTCAACAGAATGTTCTCTAACAAGATAATACTCGCTCTCATACCGAAGTTGTAACCAACATGCTCTGCAGAGTGTCAAGATGTTCCCTTGGCCTGTTAGGTCACTAGAGCTTTCTCCAGTCGAACACGCATTGGACATCGTTGCACGACAACTCCAGCATATCACAGTCAGCATTAACCTTCCCTATGTTGACCGACCAAGTGCAACATGCATGGAACTCCATCTCACAAGCTGACACCCGGTACTTATATGACACAATGCATGCGTGTTTGCATGCTTGCATTCAAAATTCTGGTGGTTACATTGGTTATTAATGGTCTTAACCTGTGATCTTGAAAATTTAATCAGTTAAATATGATATCTAGACAAAGGTTTTGCCTAAATTTCAATCCTCTGCCTTAAGTTTTGCTTGGTGTTGGAATTTTTTCCCCCATCAGTGTATTTATTAGTTTTTTCATTTCGACCATCTGTGTCTCTATAGAACTCAAAGCATCAGAAAATAGAGATCCCAACATTTGATATGCTAGTTTCTGAGCCGCCTTAATATGAGTTCTATGTTCGCGGGCATCATGTTTATTCATTTACCAGATTCGGGATAACAGTGGGGGTTTATTCATTTACCAGAGTAAAACAGAGGGGCCCAAATAGGAAGAATACTTAACTGCATTCAGGAACTGGGAAATGAATTTAGGAAGAAAATAAACATGTGAAAACAAAATAATTTTAATTTAAATTGATTATTTTATTTCCTGTCTTCGTAAACATTTTATGTAGAAATCAACTTCAGTTATATACGAGGTCAAGCAGAAAAACATGAGGATTTTAAAAATGAAGTAATTCAATAAATAAAAAGAATTCACTTTTATTCCTGTTGTAACGTTACAGTTGAATGTGTGCCATTATCGGGGAAAATGTAAAAATAAAACTTGCACTAATATTATATTCTGGAAACGACATCTTGCAAATGTCATTTTCTTCGGTTCACACACTACTGGAGTCGATCAGCGAAATTTCGTATGACATGTCACTGCTTTTCTGTCGATATGGCGGCTATCTCATGTTGAATGATGGCATTTAAGTCAAGCAAGGAACGTGGTTCGTCGATATACGTTCTCGAGTTTACGTAATCCCACAGGAAGAAGTTTCAAGCCTAAATATCAACAGGCCATAATGACTGAATGATATCTTCATATCGGGAAATACAATATTCCAAAAGGATCTTTCCCAACACTTCTATCGAATACATAAATGGGCACTGTCCCATCCTGTAGAAACAGCAGTTCTGCTCAGTTTATGCTCCTTGTGTAAAGATATGGTGTAAGGAAGCTCTGCAGGATAATAATATGTTGTTATAAAGTCATTGTTACTCTCTGAGCATTCTTTCAAAGAAATGCGAGCCGCAGATTTGGACACTTTATACCAAACTATAACCCGTGAAGGATGTAGTGGATGTTCCTGAAGTTGTGGGAAGCTTCGCCAATTAACTCTAGTAGTGTATACACCGATAAGGACGACATTTGCACAATATCATTTTCAGAATTTTATATTGACACAGTTTTTATTTTTATTTATTTATTTATTTTATTTTATCATATTTTTCGATAATGGCATACTTTATACTGTAAAGCTACAACACGAATAAAAATTAGTTCTTTCTATTTACTGTGCTATTTGCTATAAAAAATCATGAGATTTTTCTGCTCCGTCCTATATGTTATGTTTGTAATTAGTTTGTATATGTGAATTTCAAGATAGTGTTTGAAAGGCATTTTAGTTACAGCAGTTCCCGATGTATTAACAACAGCCGAGTTGGTAGAAATATTTCAATTTATACATATTTATAGTTTATATAGAACCGATAAAGTAATATTTGACGTTTATCTTATATAAGTGTGTTAAGCTTAAAACATATTGAATATTCTCTATATGTATATATTAAATAACGGCATTCACAAGGAGCTTGAAATAGTCCAATTAAGGATACATTATTACCGTCTGTGTCCTAGATTTCACGATAGCCAGGGGAGAATCTACAATTTTGTCATAAAATTTGTGAATGTGGTTTTAACAATCCTATGAATAGCAAAAGGCAGTACTTAATGCCTAAATATTGTAATGTTATATAGCTTGTTGACCTTTTGACATTCTATTGTACGCACGCCTTATTTTTGCCAGCCAAGTTCTTATTATTAGTGTCTCTGTGTTATGCTCTCTATACTGATATGCTACCTTAACTTTTAAAAGCACCAAAGCTGCTTGTTTCAATAACTACTTTGTTTTCAGTTACATGTCATCAGCTCGATGGCTCACTAACACCTTCACAATCAGTCATATGAAATCTTGGCCATGACAAATCTCTGTTGATAATTTAAATATATTATGTTATAAAAAAACTATTAGGTAAAATTACATACTTGTAACATAAATCTATTTAATACGATTAGGAGACATATTCAAGTTGCTGTCGTGAAATGATTATGAAGCCTTAGTTCGAAAGGGGTAGAGCTCTGTAGGCTTACCTTGGAGTGTATATCAAAACCACTCATGGCGAAATGTATACATGCTTCAGTGCAAAAGTTGTTACAGATAATCGACTGACACAGAATCTTTTTTGATCTATAATTCTGAAAAAAGATTTAATGTAATGGAACTTCTTCCAAATTACAAACCCACACGCTACAATTTAAAAGTTGTTTATGCAGAATCTACTGAAATAGATATATCTGATTAATGATATTTCGGCATTGTACTTATAAAAGTAATTAAAAATCAAAATATTATTATGCAGTTTTACAAAGTTTTCAGTTGTTTTGAAAGTTATGCAAAAGTATGAAATCATCATTGCACACAATTTCTAGCGTTTGGTAGGTATATGGATTTTTGAGGTTTATACGTGAAAAAATCTTCACATTTTTAATAGTTTGAAATTTAATTTCAGGATGAAAATAACACTTTTTATGATAAGATACTGAAATATTAAATATAGCTGATATGCTACATTCATATGAAAATAACATTTTTGTGTTGATTTTCTATTAGGTTTGTACAGCATGGCGTGAAGTTCTCTATCAACCTAAATTTTGGCGCGGCCTTCAACCCGTGCTAAATTTCCGGGACCTGAAGACTTGTGGACCCAACGTCCGCCTTGGAATCTATAAAAGCCTCGACCGACGAGCCTTCGATGCCCTGTGTCTCTTTGGTGCCAGTGATGAAGACATTTATGATTTAATCGCACATTGCCCTGTTAGCATGGCCAACAGGATCCGCCAGATCGCTCTGCGATGTTCCGGAATCACTGACAAAGGCCTGGAGGTACTTTTCGGGGGTCTGCCTTCCATTGTTCAACTCGAACTCTCCGGGTGCAATGAAGTGACAGATGCTGGTTTATGGGCGAGTCTGACGCCCCGAATAGTGTCTCTGACTCTTGCCGATTGCATCAACGTTGCTGATGACACGGTGGCAGCCATCACTCAACTCCTACCTTCGTTGTACGAACTCAACCTACAAGCGTATCATGTGACAGACACCGCTTTATCCTTCTTTAGTCCCAGACAGACCACCAGCCTATGTATCTTGAGGCTACGGTCTTGCTGGGAGCTTACCAACCATGGTTTATTGAACCTGGTGCATTCTCTTCCAAACCTCGTGCAGTTATCGCTGTCCGGCTGTTCCAAGATCTCCGACGACGGCATTGAGCTGCTGGCGGAGAATCTCAGGCAACTGAGGTCGCTGGATCTCAGCTGGTGTCCGCGGATATCTGATGGAGCACTCGAGTATATCGCATGTGATCTCAGCCAGTTGGAGGAACTCACATTGGACAGGTAAGTACTACACAAAATATGGAAATATGCCTTTTAAATATATTATTTACACATTAGCAATTGAATTGCTTAGGGGCTTATTGTTTTATTCTAATTGCCAAAAAGATAGCATCTTTTTCTAAGTTTTGGATAGGTAATACTTGTAGCTCTTTGTATGTAGATTTGTTGTTTCTTACCATTTTTCCAATGGCATAGTTGAAGAACAAACCTAGTTGTTATTTAGAGGCATATTTCTATTGTCTTCTTTGTTATTTCTTTAAATTCAAACGAAAATAATTTGCAGAAATTTAATGCATTGTCATATATTCTCCTTGAATCTAGTATTTTAACCACTCTAACATTACACGCCCATCGTGGCCAAGTACACTGACTGCTAATAATTCGACTCGGTTTCGAATCCCGTCCTTGATTGGGCGTTTTAATGTTCTTCCCATATGTAATATGAATGCCAGCCGATTTTTCCTATGAAGTGCTCCATGAACGTACGCTTGTCTTTGTTTTGACTTAGTCTACAGTACTTTGCCATAATCAAATAATTTAACATCACTTCATCTGTATGCATTAAAACCCGGTTATCGCTTTTCAATCAAAATAATAACCGTAAATTAATAAACTCTTTTAATTTGTTTTTAGAACTGATTGATTCATTTAAAATAAGTTTTTGAGCATCTTTTGTATTATTGTTTTCACCTTACCTAACGTTTTTTTCCAATTTCATTTCAATTTTTTGTCCGTATTTACTAAACAGGTTAAGCTAAAGGGAGTTTACTCTCAGATGATAGAGTGGAATAGTTAAAGAAATAGTATATAATACATGCACTTGAAACCTCCAAATTTAACATTTTACTCCCTGGTTAACCAAAAGTATCACAATATCACATTTTTATAGCTTCCAATAAAAATCCTGTGAAAATTCATAGCAGATACTGAAATTAGCTGTAACCGATATTATGCATATTATTTCGTAAAAAGAAGCGTGAAGGTTCATATCATTCTATCTGATGCTGTGTGAATGAAACTGCATTACATGTTTTCCTGCACAAAGCCAGATATTTAATTTGTTTATTAAGGAATACATTTGCATGAATATTGTTGCGTTCTATGGGTTCGTGGATTTGGAGTGATTGATGACGACACTCGATGAAGAATCAAAACACAATTTATTCGTCAGTATTACACAGGAGAGTTCCAAAGACAAGTTTACAGCCATCGAAAAAACTACCATAAACAAGATGAAACAATCAGCAATACAGCCTTCAGGCTATAACAGTGAAAACAGCTTCACGGCAAAGCACTAAAGTACAGCCCCCGACTCGGTCGATAACTTTCGTAATAATCTCTCAACTCAAGATACTACTATTCAAGTCAACATACTCAAGATACTCTCTACTCCACGTACAGGCAGGGTATATATAGCTTTGACCTGCCTTTGAGAACATTCTCGGGGAAACAGACAAGAATTCGTTCTAGAATGTTCTCGCTCCGTCTATGGCATGTGGCCAATTTTGTCGCCCAATGTCGCCAGGTGGGCGATTTCGCCCCAAAACTGGCAACCCTCCCTTTCCTTGCCGCTTTCTGGTAATCGTAACCCCGTTTTGCGAGGAACCTACCGCAGCTGGGCATTTTGCAACAAGCACTTTAGTTAACAAAATCTGGAACAGCAAAAATAAGTAAAAAAATATTTTCGCTACGTTAAATTAGTTAGTTATACTGCAGCGGACATAAAAATCCTAACATTACCTTATTATGAATGATATGCAAATAGACCGTTATCATGAATATAGTGAAACGAAGGTATAGAACATACTGAAACATTATTAAAAAAGGAAGGATAATAATATAATGGTATGAAATTAATTTCCCAGATTTTTTCCAAGCACTATGATAAAGATTTTACTAGAATCTGTCAGCAAATTAGCTTTAGCATTTCAAAATTTATCATGTTTTGAATTTAGGAAATTCCATGAGCGCCTTTGATCGAAAACAGTAAATGCAAACAGAGTTATACACAGTAGTAGCAGGAAACATTTGCTATGGGCTAAAAATTATTGTTCATGATCATATGATTCAAGAAGAGTTCATTTCCTGTAGCATCCATTTATCTTTTAGCAATTCACTGAAAAATTTCGGATTATTTGGACGGCTATCTTGTCGTAGCGTCTCGCCCGAATTATAAATTATCTTGAGCCGCTAATGATACGGAAAAGCGTGTCATACAATGGTATAGAAAGCCTAAAATCCATTTAGACAGCTAAGAATAATGATCGGCATGTAGATGTCCTAAGAAAGAATGTAATATGCTAGAAAACAGCGTTTCCCATGTCATTCGTAGATAATCCAACAAGGTTTGGCAGCATGCCATACATCAGTAAAGGTAAGATAATATTTTAAATTATTCTTTGAGTGTGCCCGGCAAATTTTACAGATATTTTGAACAGCCCAGGGGCTTCCCATTAAAACTCCTTGAGGCAATTTCGACAACGGATTTAGAAAACATTGCTGTCAAGTCGTTAGAATTAAAAGGCATAATAATTATACTCTGAAAATATGAAAAATGTGTGCTGATTTATGTTATGGCTGTCTCTATGCCTAAACAAACGGATGCAGCTAAAGCATGTTTTTAAGACATAAATAATGTGCCATAATATTTTTTTTTTTTTTGTGTGTGTGTGTGTTTTAAAAATGTGTACTTTTCTTTTAATTTGATTTAGATAAAAACATTGCTTACAAAAAATTACTTACTACAGTTATTGAATTTTAAATTGTTTCAAATCATACATTATCAATTATTTTATCTGCTATTTGAATTCCCTTCATTTTTACAAACTGAATCCTGTATTACAGTTTCTGAAGAGAATGAAAACTGTGTAAACTCTCAATATCCTGATTTTATATATTTCTAAAACAGTTCGTTTATATATTCTAGAGAACTTAAAACGTTATTAGCTATAAAATTGCTTAAACCTTTTAGAGAAAAATCGCCTACATGCTAAGGCCATAGTGGTTTCTTGTGCTTAACAGAAATTCTAGTAATTTAGATTAATTGATGAATTTATGGACTTAGGTGTATTATTGAATTAAATTGCAGACATTTCGAGTAATTGATACTTTTTTTAATCTATCTGAATGGCTAATTTATTTATGAGTCTAAATATATTTCAAGTTTGCGTTGATAAATTTAGGTATTTTTGCTAATTAATTAATTCTACTGCTTGAAAATAAATGAAACAATTTGAAAAAGATTAAGAAATTTAGACTTAAATGTGAGTTACAGAATATAACAAAGAAATAATAATAATAGAAATAATGACCGAAAAAATAAGCTGAATATTTTATTACAAAAAAAGGCTTTTGATGCATTTCTTTTGATACTCATTGAAAGATTCACACCCGTGACTAATGGAATTATTTTTTTTTTAATTTTCACTTATAATGTTTTAAATATTATGTAAATCGTTTTGTCGAGCCTTCATATAACTTAGAGGAAACACTGAATATAAACGGTTCAAAAACGAATATAATACGTGTAGTTTTCTACAAAACTATGCTGTGAGACTGTTGCGCAAATGGTATTCGAATGAATATATTTCATTATATACCGGATGAGTCAGTCAGAAATACGTCTACAACGTTTGATGACAGTGTTGTGTCTTGTATTACAACATTATGTCGAATGGAATTGAAATAAAGCCATTAGAAAGTTAAATCTTCAAACGAAAGAAAAATGCATGACAATACCAACAAGATTCACTTTATATCCTCGAACTACTTGAGGTTTGAATGCTTCTAAACTTACATAAGTACTGATGAGAGCTCTTTCTGGAAATTTTCCTCTTTCCCCTCCTTTTTTATTTCTTTCTCTTTTCTTAAGCATTTTTGTAAATGTTTCTTGTTGTAAACAGTCCACTAAAGATGTTTCCAGTTGTAAGTGATCATTTCCTCCGATTTCTCACAATCGATGGCAAGAATGCTACATTAGTCATGTCACTATAGTGTCACGGCCTGATGATCATGCTGGGCAAGGATCAGTTATAACACAAGTTCATGGCCTCATGATCATGCTGGCCAAGGATCAGTTATAACATCAAGTTCATGGCCTCATGATCATGCTGAGCAAAGATTAGTTGTAGCATCAAGTCTCACGCCCTTGTAGTTATGGTGGGTAAGGACAAGTTATAATAGCTAATCTGATGGCCTCAAATTCATGTTGGACAAGAATAAGTTATAACATCCAGTCTCATAGCCTCATAATCATTCTTGGAAATGAACAGTTATTAAAGCATTGACATTGTCTATTAATAGGGTTATGATCATTTATTAGCTAATATAGGCAATGATGTAAGGTTCTTCTGTTAAGCTAACCAGTTATTATAATTTTAATCTCTAGTTTCTTTCCGTATTCCTAGAATGCAAATCAGAGTATAGTATATATCAGCTCAGGATTATGGATTTTAGAAAGAGAGAGAGAGTTCTTGTCACTCGTGTAACCTTGTTAGAATTCTGCCGGCTCTAGCTAAATGCAATTATCTCGGCTTTACACGTTCTCGCAGCCGAAACTTTGAGCGCTATTATGTATTTGACCCAGCTCAGTTATTTAACTGTGTAGTTCTAAACTGCTGATTAAAGTTTAAATTTATTTGACTGTTATTATTTATTTTCATTGCCACAAATCATGGTTATCTGTAGCACGAGCCGTGCCCTGTTTTATCAAAAATTCAGTTTAATAAAAGGTTGTTTAAACCTATGTAAGCCTTTGTGATGGTATTTTAGACACAGCGACAGCTCACTACCTGTCTAGTAAGATTATAAAATTAAAATTCCAGTATCAAACCAAGATAACCTTATAATGATTAGTTGCAACATACGCGCTTGCAAACGCCGACACCCACATTGCAACTGAAACTTGGTGCTATATATTCAGCACCATGTTGGCTAATGATACAAACTCGTGTAAGATCGTACTCTTTTCGCTATCATGCAGGTGTCAAGATCCTAGTAGGAAGC